CTCATGTTTATCTGAATGGGTCAAAACCTAATTTATATAGTTAAAATATTAATTTAGCCTACCATTGTGACCCAATATCTACCTTAAACCTCCTTAAACCTAACCTAACCTAGGTGATGCCTTTGCTAGCCATGGATTATCCAAATATTCTAGTGATTATTATCCCTTCGATAGCCTCCCAGTGTGAATTCAAGGGAGCTCCTATAAGAGAATTTTGGTATGAAACCACCATCCAATCAAGTTCTTTATACCAATCAATATCTATGAAGGAAATGTTCACTATGTCTAACCAAAGTTATTTCAATTCAAAAACAAATTAATTAGCCATTACATTGAGGTAATTTCCAAAACCAAACTTATCCAATTAGGGATCTAGGACATAAAGACAACCTTCAATCTATAGTGATCAAATGTTAGATTCATTGTTATTTTATCTAGATCCTACTAGAGAAATTAGAAGGGATTTTATTAGATAGACTTTATTGACTGAGAGACAATACATTAACCTCTAAAAAAAATTATGCTATAGTACAAAAAAAAAGGATCATTTACAACATTTAATTTCATGGGATGGACCTAATCATGTTGTATCAACTATTACACATCAATCGATGGTGATGAGGCCTTAAACTTTAAACTTTTGTTCTTAGATTGAATTGCTGAGAAAATTATTTCATTCCCATAGTATCTAGTACGTAGTATTCTAACTCACAAATTAGGGACTACTTAATGGAAACGTTCTAACTAGTCAACAACAACATGTGTAATTATTTAGTTTATGAATTTTAATTCAAATTATATATACAAAACTTAAAAAAATTAATTAATTAATCAGTAAAATAAAGTTTGTGTATAATCCCTCTATGAATTCAGGAAAATAGTGACTCTTTATTAAAAATATTTCCAAGGCTTGATTTCTATTTTATTTCTTTGAATTGTGTCATGATAAAAAAAATCTCTAAGAATTTAATTAGGCACATTAATAACATAAAATATGTTTCAAATTAGATTTGGAGAATCATAGGGATGTGTATAACATTTCTATTTTTTCTCAAAGCTATTTGGAACTGCCACTACCCTCCATTGAATTTTTAAAGTTATAGGTTATATTTTGACCTAATATTTTGGAAAATTCACATTTTTAAATCCATAGGGAATAAGGTTGTGCAATTTTTGTGGTTTGTGTGAAATTGTTGTTTGGTTGAGGTTGAAAAAGGGATTTGAAAAATTAATTTTCTATGAGGAAATTTAATTTCTAGAAATTTCAATTTTGAAATCAAATACATCATTATGAACGATATATTGCCTCAAGAGGTGAAAATATCATTCCTTAATGAGTTCAGATAATAAACTGAAAGTTTCATTCTGATTATGATAGTTAAATTCAATGAAGAATTATATATTACCTCGAATGGTCAAAATGGCATTCTACCAAGTATCTAACTTTCATAGTCTAGATAGAATATCATTATTTTCATATTCAAAATCATGATGATAAGTAATATATCCCTCCGAGGGAAGAAGATTTCACCTATCATCAATTGTCCAAACATTACTATAATGATTGCCATTGATTATAATTTTCCAAAAGAAGATTAAAGAAATTTTTAAAAAATCAATTTTGAAAATATACCAGGGGTCTAAATCTCCTCCGAGCATAAGCTGTCATAGTTAATTACATCATAAGAAACCTAAGTTTCCTACAAAAACTCTTGATTAAAATAATAGTAAAAATTTTATTTAAGATATGTTGAGGAATGATATCAAAGGAAGTGAGGATGGAATTTCAACTAGCCTTAGATTGAAGTTGAACAATTAATTTTGGGGGTCAAAGGAAGAAGAGTAGGAGAAATTTTGGGATTATGAAATAATTCAAAAATACCCCAGTCTACCCTATATGTTGGGCTTTAATTTTTTTTTAAAGAGGAATTTAGTTTGAGTTGATTAATTTATTATAAATGTGGGATTATATTCCCAAAATGTGCGAGCTTACAATTTTGAATTTGCCAAAGACCCTAAGTTTAAATTGGGCACTAAATAGTAGTAGCACAAACCTAACTAATGCAGTGCAAAATTTTGACTTACCCTGTCCTAGATTGGGAGCCAGCTAACCACCTATGCAACTTAAAATTCATGAGTCTGGTCATTTATGAAAGAGTGGGTAAAGATGTTATTTAATTAAAGTTGAGGAATCATGGCTAACATCTAGAGAATAACCTAGTTGGCCCCTTAACATCTGTAGGGTGATTTTTTTTTTTTTTTTTTGAGAGAAATGCAATTAAAATTTTAGACACTTTTAAATTTATTTTTAATGCAATGTATGCTAATTGAATTAATAAATGCATGAAATTTATATGAAGCAGTTTTTAAAAAAATGCTTAAAATAATTTTATTTTAGAGATTGCACAACATCCCCTTGACAGAACTTACACCCTAATAAGTTAGGTGATTTGCCAGAACCCATAAGTGGGAAGGTTCTTAATAAAGAGGTAAATTATGATTAATTCAAAAAAAATTTAATTTTCTCTCTATCTCACTCCCCTGAGTGTGTGTATTCACACTCACCAAGTTTACTATCCACCAAATATATGACTAGACTAAAAAAAAGATAGAAATAAATAAAAATAAAAATACTAACTCTTCAAGACACTTTAACCCTATTATACCCAATCTTAAGCTCATCAATTTCACAATGTATGGCGGACCTGAAATGTTAGTGTACAAGAAAAAAATATGCAATAATAGCAGTAACAGGAGATAATATATTAGAGAATCTAATAAAATTTGTTATCATCAAAATTACAAGTCTTGGGTCTAGATTTGCAACACTATTTTTAAATCGATAATAGAATGTCATGTCTAACTTACGAGATGATATGTTGTTCTCTATTTGGTATTTGATTTTAGAAATAGAAATTTTGAATCACATGGTATTTATTTTCCCACAACCACCACCACCTGATCAAAAACTATTTAACTATATATTGTTTTGTTTTTATTTTCTATTTGTTTTTTTTTTATTTTTTGTATTATTTTTTTCTTTTGTGTGTTTATCTCTCCTTTTTTAGATGTGAAAATGGGGAGAAGTGTAGGGTGGTTGAATTATGTACTTGTTATTGCTATTTTAAAACAAAAAAAAAATATGTTTATAATTTGCACTCTATAATAGTCTTTATTTTTAGTCCCTTCAAAAATAAATAAATAATAAATAAAAATTATCATTTTCACCATAATAAAATACTGAAAGCATAGAGTAAGGGAAGAAATAGGTAATGGGATTAACCAATTAAATGCTAAAAAAAAAAAATCAACCAAAAATATTTACAGTCATAAAAAAGAGGGAAATTATTTGATCTCATCACCTTGGTGTACAGCTAAGGTAATTCACATCTTAGTCTTATGTGTTGGTCATTTTCATTATACTAACATTTTAGTCAAATTACACAAGGCAAAGTAATATTCAACATGATACAAAGAATAAATGAAGCTCAAAATTGCAAAAGAAAATATTGTCAAAGATTATTTGTGTGGGTGTGAGTGTCATATGCCATTTTTTAACTTAATTTATGTTATAACTGTAAAATGGTTAAACAACCAAGCACACACTCACAAAAGAGAATTAAAATAATAATAAATGAAAATTAATTAAAATCACTTGATTTTTTTGAGAATTCATACTATATGATTATACGATCACTTATGAAATTAATAATAAATTAAGTAATACTAATAAAATAGAAAAAATTAAAAAATAAAAATTTAAAGGCTAACTAATCATATTGTATCATATATATTGAACTGGAGGAATAGTTATTTCAAATAAAGTAGCTTGTCATTACGAATTTCATAAATAGGAAAATTTTAATTTGAGTAATCCTAATGTGTGAACTTGTTCGCATTGTACAAATATTTATAATATTTAACTATTTAGAATCCAAAATTTAGAAATCGAATTAGGATCAAATCAAGATGAATATTCATTCAGTATGTTAAATATCTTGTAGTGTGAATAAATAGAGAGCATGTCTGTATGATTCCCTTTTGGACAGGACCATCCATTGATCCCTTAAAGTGGTTATACTTTCTTTGCAAAGTGGTTTTTTAATTTAAAAATAAGAAAACTACTTTTAAGTGCAATAATTAAAAAAATATCATTTTGACTCTTGCTCTTGAAGTTATTTTTTTTTAAATAAAATATATTTGCTGATTATCAAAATGTTTTTTCAAGACTTCTGTTGTAATTGTTGTTAGCGGTTAAAACTTTTTGAAATAAATAATTCAGCAACACCCCCTCCTATTTTTGTTAATAATAACTTACAACCCTTAAGTTTTTCATGTTTTTTTGTGTTTATACCCCTTATCACACAACCCTTGACTTAGCGCTTTTTTTTTTACATGGTTATTTTAAACTTTACCAATATACCTAAAATATTGGAGCTCTTTTTGTGTCTAAAACTCTTATATCCTTTGTGTTTCCTAAATATTTTGAGTTTGATAGTTGATGTCCTCAACTATCTCCCTTATATTAATATTTTTGCATATGCATAAGTTGGGTTAGCATAGATTGGCTAAGTAAGTCTACCCTTAGCTTTAAGATTGGCCAATGGCTCTTACAAAAAATATTTCATTAGTAGCAATGTTTCCTTAAAAATGTTCTTTGTATGCTCATTTGCGCAGGTATAGAATTGAGCTTGCTAGCACTAAGATCCCTTAATTATTTTACAATTTTAACATTGCCAATCAAAATGCATTCATATCATGTCCCTTAGAATCGAGCACCTAGCTTGGCAATAATAATTTAATTGATACGGCAAGATGGATATTTAGCATGCAAGAGAATTCCATATACATCCAATTAAGTTTAACTAAATTGGTCTAAATATCACACGAAAAAAAGAAACACAGCAACTCCATGAAAATAGATAATGCACGCGTACAAAAAGATATAGCATTGTCAGATTCAAGTAACATTATATTGTTCCGAAGCTGCTCGCAAGCCCTGCTGTAAATTGGCAAGATAATAAATTACCGAATCTAATCTTAAAGGGTTCCACAAATTAAACAGGCAGCTAAATCCAGCCTCACTTCATAGATGGCAACAAACGCCAAGAAAAATAGGAAATAATAAGATAATGCAATTTTTTTTTCTACCTAAAGATTTTGTTACAAAGCCAGATTAAGCAGTGTTCTTAGTTTCTGCATATAGGTGGCAACAATAATAACCAAAGGTGTAAACATCTTCTGTTTCCACCAAGACGGCAAGTTACAATAGATAACCAAATCCACTTAACCACGCATTAAGTCAATATCAACGTGAGCATTTCTGGCGCTTGCCCATCCTCCCATTATTGAGGCAGGGTGACTCTGACTTGGCAGATTACTTGATGGTGTGCTCTGCTTATCTCCCTCGACTTGCTCGGCAGCCTCTGCAGCTTCTTTATTCAGTTTAGTTTTGCTCTTTGACTTGCCCCCACCATACATAAAGCTACCTACTATAACCTGCACAAAATTATGCATCGAAATACAGAAAATATTATTACGTGCGGATCCGGCTTCGTCCGGAGACCAATAAAAATGTGCAACATCGCCCCAAAAAATGTACCGAGCGTGGAACCGGACGGTTCTCCCGTCCGGTATCCACATAGAAAAATCGCTCCGAAAAACATGGGAAATAAGTCTAAGCGTATTTGACCGAGAATCTCAGAAGTCAGGGTTTTGGTAACTTTAATCCTTGACATGATGCCTACTTCAAAATAAATTCTAATTTGCATTGAAAATGGGCAGTTAGATTGAAGACATTGCTAAGTAATGTGAGAAGTAAAATAGAGGTAGATAAAGATTATAACCTGGACAGGGCTTGCAGCTATAAGCAGGCCACCAACACCACCCCCGATGACTCTTCCATCAGGACTTGAAAGAGAGACACTTAAGCCACCACTACGGCCCCGAGATCCACCTTCATCAGTCATCAAGTATGAACCAGACAAACAAAGAATCTCAAATCGGCCCTGGATTTTAATAACATGTTATTGCAGTTGCACGGCTCGATGTTCTGATTACATTAAATATTACTACTAATGTGAAGCACATATTTTTATCTCTCTGGAGATTAAAAAAAATCATGATCAATCTCGTAAAAAAGAGAGAAAAAGCATCCATGAAATTAACATTGACAAGTCAAATATATAAGTGAGCTGAAACGAACAACAGCTTCACAAGGTAATGTTCAAGCAGATCAAATTACTTAACATTAGCTTCAAAAGCATCATTTAGTAGTAAGAAAATACAACACTTAAGCCTAATAAAATACACTAATTTTACAGGATCATAATTTTGGCAAAAAAAAAAAATCATATTTTTATACAAGCTAGTAAAGTTCTTTGAAAATATGTCAGCACATAATCACAAAAAAATAGATAATTCCAAAATATTTAAAAAAAAAAAAAACAGCACTGGTGCCCTACGTTTAATTGGGGCTTATTCAGCTATGAGGATATACATCTTCAGGGAACAACAATCTTCTCAAAACATTTCTTCGCTCATTCCCACATAAGAAATTCAAGTTTTTTTTTTAAGCTTCACACTCAACCAATGATAGACAAATCCTACTCGCAAGAAAAATACCGATTTTCCTCAGCACAACCATAACAAAAAATAATTACCTAGAGGGTTGTGCATACAGCAATAACTCAAAAAAGTTGTGTATTGTACAAACGAAGGCAAAGCAAATGACCTCTCTTTCATGTCTAAGCATTCAAGACTGGTCATAAGCATTATGATGATCAATGGATTGACATAAAAAAACAACAACAAGCTTTTATCCCACGACGTGGGGTCGGCTAGATGAATCCTTCCTCTCCATTGTCCTATTAAGAGTCAAATTCTCATTTAAATGTAACAAAGAAAGATAATTTCTAATATTTTCTAGCTAAATCTTGTTAGGTAAACCTCTACCTTTTTTAACATAAACCAAATCTAATACATCTATTCTCCAAATCGAGAAAAAATATTATGTGCGGAGACATGATGGAGAGAACTGTCCGAATTTGCTACGCTTTTACAAATATTCAACAAAAGGGTAAAAAATATGCAAAATGATTAATGCACTTTTGATGCCCTTTTACTACGTATTTACAAAAACGCATCAAAAGGGCAGCAAATTTTCAATTAGTAGGATATTTGTTGTGCTTTAGCTGCCGTTTTGCTGCGCTTTTGCAAATACTCAACAAATATGCAATTATGAATGCATATTTGTTGCCCTTTTGCTGAGTTCTGCAAAATCGCAGAAAAAGGGCAGCTAAAGCGTAGCTAATCCGGACAATTCTTGCAATCTGGTCTCCGCACAGAATAATTTCTCCCAAATCAAATCATTGAAAGGACACTGTTTTATGCGACCATACCATCTAAGGCGACTCTCTATAATCTTATCTTCCACTGGAGCTACTCCAACCTTTTCAAGTATCCTATCTCTAAGAGTAAAGCCACACATCCACCTGAGCATCCTCATCTCTGCAACACTTAACTTAATATTATACTTCTTTTTTAATGGCAAACATTCTGCACAATAAAGCATTGCAGTTCTCACCACCATCTTATAGAATTTTCCCTTAAGTTTGAGAGGGACTTTTCTATCACACAAAAAAAACCAGATGTATCCCTTCATTTTAACCATCCAACTTGAATTCTACTAATAATATCCCCATCCATTTCACCATCACTCTAAAAAATAGATCCAAGATACCTAAAATGTGTACTCTTATTAATGACTAGATCGCCCAAAGTCACAATCCCCCCACTAGATCTATTACTACTAAAAAATTACAATCCATATATTCTATTTTAGATCTACTCAAATGAAAAGCTTTAGACTAAGGTTGACCTCCATAATTCAAGTTTACCTTCAACTCTCTCTCTAGTCTTATCAATAAGAAGAATATCATCAGCTTTAAAAAAATAATAAAAAGAAAAATAAAAAAATATCATCAACAAAAAGCATACACCAGGGTACAACCTCTTGCAAATGCCTAGTGAGAACATCCATGAGTAAAGCAAAAAGATATGGGCTTAAGGCTGATTCTTGATGTCATCTAATTGAAATAGGAAAATACTTAATCAAACCACCTTATGTTTGAACACAAGTAAACAACTCCTACAGACATATCTTTAATGACTTGAATATAAATATTATTAACCCCTTTCTTTTAGAAAACTCTCCATAATATTTCGCTTCGAACTTTATCATATTCTTTTCCTAAATAAATAAACATTATATGTAGATCTTCCTTATACTTTCTATAATTCTTCATCAAACCTCCCAACAGATGTGTAGCTTCCATAGTACAGCTACAGCATTCATCCAAATTAATTTTGAGAAATATTTGTATCACGTCGTAACCTATGCTCCATAGCTCTCTCACATAGTTTTAAAGTATGACACATTAACTTAATTTCTTTATAATTCACACAATCTTGTGCATGACCTTTATTCTTAAAAAACAGGAATCAATACACTCATTATCTATTCATCAAGCATCTTTTTAGTCTTCAAAATAACATTATAAAGTTTATTAAGCCAAGAAATTCCTTCATCCCCTAAGTATTTCCACACCTCTATTGGAATATCATCAAGTCCAACAATTTTTCACATCTCATTTTCATTAAAGCCTCTCTAATTTTGATTTTACTAATATACCGATAAAAATAGAACTCTTCATTTCTATTTAAGTTGCTAAGGTCAATAAAGTCAATTGTATTTTCGCAATCTTCATTGAAAAGTTTAGAAAATATCTCATCCACCTTTGTTGAATATCCTGTTCTAATAAAAGAACATTTTTATTTTCATCCTTAATGTATTTCACTTAAACTAAATCTTAATTACTCATATCTCTTTATTTGACTATAATACTTAATCTATTATATAAATCAGTAAGGTAAAATCTTTGCATCACATATTATTTTCTTAGACTCCTTATGGGCCTCTTTATGTCTTTTCCAATTATCAAAGTTTTTACATCTACACTAACTTTATAACAAAGTTACTTATTTTTTATCTTTTTTTACACATTTTGATTCTACCGCCAACTAGTTTTACTAATAGGAGGTTTCCTTTAAAAGAATAAATAAATAAATAAAATAATTTCATCTAGGTTGAACGGAATATCAAGCCAAAAGATGAAAGAATCATATAACTTTTAACATAAAATCATCTGCAGAAAAAGATAAAAGTAAAATTGTGGTAACTTTTTGGGACGGGTACAGCCAACCAAACATAACAAAGAAATACTAGGTGAACTGCCTAAACCATATTGATATAAAAAATAACTAGATCTGCCGAATCAAGTTAGCAACAAACTATTACAGTTGAGGTCCTATTTGATCCAGATGCATGATCTTTTAGGAAAAATGCAAACAAAATCCCTTACTGATTTATCTCATTAAACATTATGTTATCAAAGTTTTTAACCCCATGAAATAAGCCGGTGATTTCATCTGTCAACAAGTCCGGTGAAAAGGAGAGAATTGTAAAAGACATTCACAGTTGCCTTCATAGCACAAGCACATTTGTATCTATATACAACCAAGAGTAGAAAATAACAAAGGAAAATATCAATAAAGAAAAAGGTTCTCAATAATGAAAAAACATAACAATAACAATATTAACAAACAAAGGATTCCTATTACTAACAATTAACATTTGATTATTTAGATACGATAACACTTTCTAAATACTAAAAGTGATGCAAAAAATATCAATTTGAGTGAAATTTATAGCGAATAAAAATAAATGATTAAAGGTTACGAGTGTGCAAGAGAAGCACGACCAACATGTAAAAGACGAAGTAATGTGAATCAGAAGCTAGGAGTCAACAATAAGATTGGTGTTAGAGAAGGCGTGGATAAAATCCTCAAACAAATGAATGAATATATCAATGGATAAGTGAGCTTTGGCAAAAAAAATATTATTAGAGAATGTAAACATAATTTATATAAGGGAACAGGAAACCAACATAATGTTGACAAAACATAGTCAAAAGATAAGTGCAAGAGTGGGCTAATGGAGATTTAAGGTTTGAGTGCAACATCAGCAAGAGGGTGTTTAAAGACGAGAAGATTTTAAGCCATGGCTTTGCCAAATTATAAGGGCGAGACTAGAAAAGAATTACATATTTTCTCATCTTCATAATACAATGCATACATATATCTACATACATGCAAGAGAAGAGAACAATAAAAAAAACAATTCTCAATAACAAAGAATTATAATAATTATAAATAGTTACTAGAAATAATCAGTACATGTGATAATCTAAATACAAGAATAAGGTCAAAATTAGTAATTTGTTTCCTTCTTGTTGTAGCCATGCAACACTAAGATATTTTCCAAATGAAATCCACTTGAAATTTCCTACTCAATCGCCTCTCCATGGTATTAAAACTCCCATGAAACTCCACCATCCCATCAAGTCCAATACCCGTGCAAGTTCTAAATCTATCACTCTCATCACATCTCTCCTTGGGCACCTCAGTTCTCGCCTTCACATCATGGCGCACTACATGAAAATTTCAAATTTTATGTATTTGACATAGAACAACAAATGCTCTAGTCCAACCATGTGCACATCCTAAATACAATGATGTCTAGCCAAGCGAGCTAGAAGGTTGTAGAAGAGATTGAGATCACTTGAGGTAGAGTGCCACCACTTCTATCTAAAAATCTTCGAGGATTTGTAGAAATTTGCAACGTGTTGATGATAAGGATTAACAAGGTGAAATGGTAGGTGTTGATGATAAGGATTAACAAGGTGAAATGGTAGGTTGATGGAGTCGGTGAGCATATATAAATGTTCAAGAGCACTATTAGGATATGAAATATGAACACTTATACATGACATGCCCTCAACACAATAAATCCATAGAGACAACATAATAAAAAATAGTATGACGCAATATGTGATGGATAAAGTATATATAAATTATTAAAATAAAATGCCTAATAAAAAATCTATCA